AACCAGAAATTCGGGGGCTCGAAAATTGAGTTCGCATACATGCTATTTTCGAAGGATATAAAAGCAAAAGTCAACAATTTGTCAAAGACCTAATCCCTCACTTTCTCCTTCAGCTCAACCTTCTCTCTCTCTCCAATGTCTCCCAGCTGCATCCATCTTCTTCCGCCTTGCCAACCGCCGGTCCCAGCTCTGAACTCCGACCGGCGACGCGATCCCCAAGGTATAAATTGACGACTTCGAGCTTTGTACCTTCACTCACCGAGCTTGCACCGGCGACCATAACATCAAACTCTGATTTCCGCTTTAAGGGAAAACCAGCGATTTCGAGCTTCTAGCGACCTCCATCTGCAACTTCCGGCAACCCCGACTTCCGACCATAAACCTTACGTCGATTTCCGTCGCGAGTCTTCGTCTACCTGATGCGCGACTACCTTCGAGCCCGTCTAAGCTAAAAACCGAGCCCCCACCACCGTACACCATTGCGTGCTCTCCTCTGCAAATCCGACACAGCCGGCAAACCTCGCTTCCAGCTGCGACTACCGGCGTCCATCCTCCGACCACCGTGCGCAGCGACTTCGACTTTCGCCCTCAACCCAAGACAACCGGCGACAACTTTTCCCAACACCTGAGCCCCGTTCGACCTCTAATCTCCTGCCACAGCGAGCATCACCTCCGAGCTCAAAGCTTTAAAATCCAGAGACCACCAAGCCAAGCACAATTTCCAGTAACCGAGCTCTGTTCAGGCTCTATCTCAGACCACCTCAGCCCCGCCTCAAGCTCAACCGCGAGCTCGACTTCCGGGAACGTGACGACTCTTGATTTTAGTTCCTCTATTCTCCTCCGGTGAATTCATATCGTCTCACCCCGACTCTTTCAATCGGCAAGGTATATTGTCTAATCTCGGCTTGTTCATTTCAATTACAGTTATTTTGAGTTGGAGAATTGTGCGTCGGTTGAATTGGCGGAGTTGTTGGAGATAGGGAATTGTTTATTGTTATTGAATTGGGGAATTGCATTGGAATTTGGTAGTATATTCTTGGGTGTGCATTGGATATTGTTGTTGTGTGGAAACACGTCTTGCCGGACGTGTCGAGACTCTTTTGTAGGAAATTATGCACATTTGGCTCTTAAGCACTATGCCTCTGAAAGAGAAGCAACCGAGTACCAAGAGTTCACCTCCGAACACCCGACCGATGTTGTCGAAAGCCAACTACATTCCGATGTGAGGCCCCATCTGGAAGAGACACAAAGGGCCGAACCTTCAATGACCACCGATTTTAAAGTCACATAGGGTCTTCGTGCTAAGTTTTTCCATTCCACCGGACGAAACGCAATTGGATACACGGTGATTATTCACCGTGTTGAGTACGCACTTTCTTTTCTTTATTTTCTCTTTCTCTTTGTTTCTTTTTATGTGTCTTTGTGTTTATGTGTTCATTTTCTTTTCTTTCATTTCTTGTGTTTTATGGTATTCACCGCATGAGCTTATATGATCTTGTTTTCCTTCCTTACACTTTGTTTGGTTAAGCGATGAGGACATTGCTTTGTTTGAAGTGTGGGGGAGAGTTTTTTTCTTGATTATGTATGCTTAGGTGGTGATTACTTTGTCTTAGGTGTTTATCTTTTTGTTTTATGTTTCTTAGACCGGTTTTGTGTGTTAGTCTTGTGTGTTTTTGTCGATTTCCCCTCGTGAAGTTCGATGCTTGGTCAATTTGTTAAATTTTATTGGATAAATTGTTTATGTTGTTTTGAACTATCTTGTTTAATGCCTTGTAATGATTCCAATTCCGGCAATTCAAAGTAATTGAAGATTCGTGAATTTGGAACACATGATTTAGAATTACGTATTGTTTTGTCATTTGCAATGCCCGATTGGTCCATACTTTGAACTTGCGTGCTTTGAGGTCTCTTGTTTTTAGCATACATGTATTCTCATTTTGTACACTTCGTGACATTTTTTTTGATCATATGTTGGGTGAAGTTCACGTTGTTGTATGGAATTGTTGCCCTCTCATAAAAAAAATAAAAATAAAAAATCAAAAGTGAGTATCGCAGGGTCGTACGGATTACACTCCTCTTGTATTGATTCATTTTGGTGAATTATAATAATGAGTGCGGGAAACCGGTCTAGGGAACTCGAGGTGGTCCCTCGAGGTTAAACCTAGATAATATTGTCCGGAAATCCTCGTTTGGAAAAAGTAACTCACGAAAAAAAAATTCTATTGGAGTTCGTGGGAGTTTGAAAGATTAAACTCCACTTGAACCGGTTCGTCTATTATAGATAGATCGGGACAACGAGTACGGAAAACCGGCTTAGGAGGCTCGAGGTAAGCCCTCTAGATTATACCTAAGTAATAATCGTCCGGATAACTCTCAATGGAAAAATCGGCTCTTAAAAATAAAAAGTAATGAATAAGAGAGGGAAACATTCATTTGTGCTTGGATATTCTTGATATGTGAGTATGCTCTTTGGATCCCATGAGTTTATGATTAGTTATTTGTTGGGACATTGATGCGTGTGTGTTCTCGAGTAGATTTGTAAGAGTATGCTTGTGATGAGTTGACTATGTGTGGTGGAGCATTGGACGGTTTTGTTTTGTATGATTCTAATTTGTTGGGGGAACGCATGATCTAATTTGATGTTACTAAGTATTGTGGGTAAGATGAGCTAGGCATGGCTTGATGAGTGACGAACAATTAAATGAATTTATCTTTTCAAAAGGTTTGCTTGAGGACAAGCAAAGAACTAAGTGTGGGGGAGTTGTATGTTATGTTTTTGTGTGTTTTTCTTGTGTTTTTATTTGCTTGAGTCGAGTATTTTTAGGTTCGGTTTGTGCGTTCTGGTCCATTTTGTGTTCGTTTTAGTAACTTTCCATTTTTGAGTTGTTTTTGTATATTTTTCTATCTTCCATGTGCGTTTTGGTGTTTTGTAGGCCCGGAAGGAAGAAATAGTCATTTCGTGATGTGCCGTCCAAGCCGACCGAGTCGCCCGAGTCGTTGTCGAGTCATTACCGTGCCAAAAGTCTAGTTCGCCTAGAGAATGTATTCGCCGCATAGCGAGTGTTCACAAGACTCATAGGACCAGTCCGCAAGCGAACGAGTTCGCCGCCTAGCGAGTGTGCACAAGACTACAAGACCAGTTCGCCTAGTGTACTAGTTCGCTACCTAGCGAGTGCTAAATTTTTAAATGTGTGTGCACGTAGTGTGTGTTTTTGTAGAAGACTATAAATATGTTTTTTCCTTTGTATCCTTTGTATTTTGGACATCCAACACTCATTTTTCACTTTTCCTCTTTGGGAAATTTGTTTTATTTTTGCTCTCTAGATTAGGAGCTTATGCTATTTTCTGGGAGATTTTCCGGTGACTTCGGTTTCTTTCAAGTTTCGAGCTTTTGACTCCATTTTTCATCGTCTACGCAATGGAAGAATGAGTATTTAGTTTTAAAGCTCTTTACTTTGGTTTTTGCTCCGCTTTTACTTATAATGTTCATTAGGGTAAATTTGGATTTGATTGATGATGGAGGAAATGCTTGAATTTGATTGCTTACTTGAGTAGATAGAGTCGTTAATTGCTCGTTGATCTCAGTTATACGACTAGGGTTAGCAATCTAATGCTCGTAGCTCGTTTATTCCGTATGTCGATTGATTATCATCCCATTATGGTTATGGCATGAGACTCCGGTGATCTAGTTTGCTAATTGCTCGACATTTGATCTTGCTTTTAGTTAATTGCTCATTTTTAAGTGCTCGATTAGTGTTAATCAACCATCCAATCAATTGCTTAGAATGTTTAGGATTTTATTTTCCCTTTTTGTGATTTGGACGATCATTTAGTAGATAAAGCTCCGAATAGCCTTCCCTCGAGATCGACCCGAGTCGGGTAACTCGGTTATCCTTTGCCCATCAAATGTCTACTAAATAGCTACGTAGCGCGAAATAGCACAATTTTGCTCGAAAACGCGTTATAGCGCTTAAAATATCGCGTAGTTCCAGTATAGTGTACGCTATATATGACGTGACACGCTATTTCGGAGAAAATGCACGCTATTTACGCAATAGCTTAAATGGCGGACACTATTCGGCACATTAATTTTTATAAGCAAAAAATTTAAAAAAAAAAAAGAAAAAGAAAAGTAAAATCATGGGCAGCGACCAGCGAGCACAAACCCTCATTTCACTTCTCTATTTCTCTTCGTCATCTCTGTCTCTCAGCCTAGAGCCTCTCCACCGCAGCCTCCATAGATACCTCCACGGCCCACCACAACCCGGCGCAGGACTTCACCTCAGCCTCCTCACAAGCTAATTCTCAGAACATCCTCCGATTCCTCGGCTCTCGTCTTTCGCCTCTTGCCCGGCTCTCGGCACCCCAAAGTGTCTGCTCCTCAGCTCTCTACACCCGACATCTCCTGCTTTTCGGTCTTCTCCAAAGGTAAGATTCTGTTTTTATTTGGAGATGATGAGATTGAAATTGGGCATTTTCTTCATTTACTTGATTATTTTGATTTTTTGTTTAATTGGACTGATTATATATTAAATTAACAGAGTTAGATATAGTTGATTGCTTGAGCATGTTGTTTTGAGGACTCTTATGGGATTTTAAAATTTTCTTTCTTGATGGGAGTGTTGTTGCTTTATATTGGGGACTCTGATGGGGCTGCTACTCTTTGTGTTGCTCTATGTTGCTTTGTGTTGAGGACTCTGATGTTTCTTTGTATTGAGGACTCTGATGTTCTTTGTGTTGTTGCTTTGTATGGAATTTTAAAACCATATTTGTCGTGTTTTCGTATAGCCTAATGTTATGGCTAGGCTGCAACTCTTTTGGCAGGGCCATTAAGTCTTAGTGCTTGAATTCCAGTAAATTGCTTTGTTTTGGTGTAAGAATAATGGAATATGACTAGATAAAAATTAATACAATTCAATTTCCTCATAGCAGACAATTCATCTATGTAAATTATTAAACTTTGTGTTAATAATATTCTTTTTGTTCCATTTTCAGGTTAAATGACGACAAACAAGGATATCGGTTGGAAATATGCTATTAAAGTGGATGGGGAGAGAAGCACTGAATGCAAATTTTGCCATCACAGATCAAATGGGGGCATTACTCGTGTAAAAGAACATTTAGAACAAACCCTGAAAGGTGTTGCACCTTGTGATAAGGTTCCAGTTGAGGTGAGCAAGGAAATTAGAGACAGTCTTCAAACTTTCAAGACTCTAAAAAACAAGAGGAATGAATTGCTATGGGAGATTGGTGCGGTTCCAACGGGCAGTAGATTGTCTCAATCTATTTCTGATACGGACGGTTTTTCACAAGGAGGAAGTAATAGCCATTCTAAAGGCACCGGCACATTGGACAAGTTTGTCCTTTCCGAACCGAGACAGACAACTATAAATTCAGCATACAAAAAAGAATTAAAAAAACAGATTGATCGTTGTGTTGCTCGTTTTGTGTACTCTGCGAGACTTTCCTTCAATGTCGTCAACGATCCTCATTGTTTACCGTTGATCGAGGGAATTGGGGAATATGGTAAAGGGTACAAACCGCCTTCCATGCATGAACTAAGAACGCGATTGCTTAAATCCGAGGTGAGTGACATTAATGTTATTTATGAGGAGCACAAAAAAAATTGGAAAACATATGGATGTACTATAATGTCCGATGGGTGGACGGATGGGAAGAGTAGAGCTTTACTAAATTATCTAGTGAATAGCCCCGTCGACACTTTTTTCTGAAATTTGTTGATGTTTCTGACTCTATAAAAAATGGTGAATTGATTTTCAACTATCTTGATGACATTGTGAATGAGATAGGGGAAGATAATGTTATCCAGGTTATCACTGATAATGCTAGTAACTGTGTAAAGACGGGGAAAAAGTTGTTGATGACACGGAAATCTTTATGGTGGACATCTTGTGCAGCACATTGCATTGATCTCATGTTGGAATCAAATGCAAAATTGAGTATATTTTCAGATACGATCGAAAAGGCTAAAAGAGTTGTGAGAAGTTTATTTATGGCCATGGCACTATCCTTTCTTTGATGAGGAAGCACACAAGCGGGAAAGAGCTTCTTCGTCCCGCGGTAACTCGCTTTGCCACTGCTTTCTTAACCCTTCAAAGCATGTACAAACAAAAGAGGCCTCTGGAAATCATGTTTGCTTCTGAAGAATGGGTTAGTTTTCCTCAAGCTAAAAAAGTGTAAGGAAAATTTATCAAAAGAATTGTTATCAATGATCCCGATTTTTGGCCGCATGTAGCATTTTGTGTTAAAAGCATTGTGCGCCTTGTTAGCGTATTAAGGGAAGTTGATTCTGAAGAGAGGCCGGCCATAGGATATATTTATGAGCTCATAAGAAGGGCAAAGGAGACCATTAAGTTTAATTGTGGGGGGATTCAAAAAAAATATATGCCAATTTGGAGAAAAATTGATGATAGATGGGCTCCACAACTTCACCATCCCCTACATGCAGCCGGATATTATTTGAACCCGCAATTGCGTTATGAAGATTCCTTTTGCAATACTTAGGAAGTTAAAGATGAATTATATGCGTGCATGGACCAAATGTTATCGCCCGACGATCGTCTTCAAGTCGATATTCAATTGGATTTTTATGACAATGCACAAGGAGAATTTGGAAGTCCAATTGCTAAGAAGTCTAGAATGTTGCGTTCTCCAGGTATAATATTCATAATTTTTTCATGCATTTTTTACGACTTTAAATAGTTAATGGTTTTTTTTTTTATTATTTTAGCCAAATGGTGGGTACGGTTTGGAAGCAAAACACCCGAGCTTATGAAATTTGCTATACGGGTTCCCAGTCTTACTTGTAGCGCTTCGGGATGTGAAAGAAATTGGAGCACATTTGAGTCGGTAATATTATTTTTTAATCAACCACTTAAATAATTTTTATTTCTTTTCTTATGTACTAAATTTATACTAAATGTTTTTCTTTTCCTTTTTCTTAGATACATACGAAGAAGAGGAATAGACTTCAACATTCAAGATTGAATGCTTTGGTATTTGTGAAGTACAACTATAGATTAAGGGAGAGAAGTATTAGACGGAGAGATAAGATGGATCCCATTATAGTTGATGAAATTGAGTCGGATGATGAGTGGATAACATAGTTAGAAGATCCCGCCCTCCCGAATAATACTACTTGGCTTGTTGATGATGAGTTGTTTGAAGGGGATCCTATTGTTAGTATGCCATCGGAAACCTTTTTTGATAGCCTTATGGATTCGGATAAGCGAGTTGAAAATGAAGATCAAAATCATTCTCCAATTATGAAGAAGAAAAGAGTCGGTGAAAGCTCAAGTAAGTATGCCCTTTTTTTTTAAAAAAAAAAAAACAAAATGTTAGTTCTTAAATTGTACTTGTATGTAACAGGTGGAAACAAAGATCCTATTGACATTCATGATGATGAGGAGATGCAAGAATTTGGTGAAACTGGACCAATGATCTGTCATAGTGGAAATCTCCCACACTTTGATAGTATTGACGATGATAGTCAAATTCTGTTGGATGATACCGATTATTTTTAGATTTTGAGTATGTACTTTGAAGATTATGACTTCGGTTTTTTTCTTTTTCTTTTTTTTTTTT